GGCGTTAGACCGACCTCGGCTCGTGCCTTTGCAACAAGCATGGCTAGGCCGTCAACCGACTGGGTGTTGCATTTTGCAACCGGCAAGCCAAAGCTGGGAGAAAGACTTTTCGAAGAGAGCGGTCGCTTAAACAAACTTCAGCGTAAAGCCAAAATTGCGCAATGCAACCGATGCTGGGGACACCACCCAACTAAGATCTGTTCACGAGCAGAGCGCTGCTCTCGCTGTGGATCGATTGAGCACAAGGCTACTGAGTGCAAACAGCTCGTCCCAAGGTGCATCAATTGCCATGGGCCGCATGCCGCAACCGAGCCTAGCTGCATGGCCAGGCCGACGCGGACCGGCGGAAAGACTGTGCAACGCACAAGAGACCAGCTGTCGGTGATCCGGGAACAAGGTCAAAAAGAAAGAAACGCTTCGATCCGAGAGTTGGAAGCAAAGCAGAAAGCCGCTGAGGCGACTGCTGAAAACGAAACTACAAACGTTGCTCAATGCCCGTAAGGGACCACAACCTTACCGAGCTACACACAACGGCAACAACGATCTTGTTCCTCTGCGCTAATTTGGGCAGAGGAGACCCCGCTACAGACATCATCCTGCAATCCGCCTGGGATTCAGGAACCGATGTCCTACTCATCCAGGAACCCTGGACTCAACACAAGGACGGCTTCTGGCTCACCAAGTCGCATCCTGGGTTCGACAAGCACTTGCCCCCCCATGTCACAGCCAACCCCGCAAGGCCACGACCCCTCATTTATACGCGAAAAGGGACCAAGTGCCTACAACTAGCAATCTGCGAGGCATCACCAGATCTTACCGCCGTAAAGGTTGAAGGAGTCACGTTTGTCTCAGTGTATCGCGCTCCTGGGGCAGACCTTTCGCCGCTCCTATCATGGGCCCCGTCTGGGCCCACAGTAGTTGGTGGAGATTTCAATGCCGTCCACCCTGACTGGCAGCCCATGGCCACCAGGCTACACGGTGACGGCCAAGTGCTCGCCAAATGGATGTCCGAGCACGGTATGGACCTATCTTCGACCCCGGGCGTCTCGACTCACGATCTTGGAAACACACTCGACCTAGTCTGGTCTAACGCGGGAGCCCTTGCAGACGTCTCGATAGAGCTTGACTCGACATCGGACCACAGAACTCTTGCAGGAGACGTCCCCCGTCCGAACTCGAAAGCTAGAGCTGTTATCAAAACAGGCCAACCGTTTCGAGTGACAGACGACGCCCTCGAAGACTTTGCAAAGGTGCTAGGCCGTTGGGCTCAAGGAATAGAGCTACAGCCGATGGCTTCAGTAGACGCGGTGGACAATCTTGCTGATAAGCTGGTCCAAACTATTAGCAACGCAATCAGGGTCACTGGTAGACGCGGGAGTGTGAAGAAGGGTAGGACAGCACCTTGGTGGACGTCGGAGTGCCTACAGGCCAAACGCGAATACAGGATATTCAGGGACGAAGAGAGCAGAAAGGACTTCCGTCGCATAGTCAAAAGTGCCAAACGCCAATACTGGCGGCGAAAGTTCTCCGAAGCAACAACCGACGTCGACATGTATCGGATGGCACGCTGGGCTAAGCCGCAACCTACATCAGCTGCTCCACCACTCCAAACTCCAGATGGTCTTGTTTCGGATCCAGGAAAGCGAGCAACTCTGTTGCGAGACCTCCTTCTCAGCCGGTTCACCAGTCAGAACGACGTCGACGCTGAGGACTTCGAGCCAGGACGCGGAAACCTCCCATGGGTCTCGAGCGTTACGGACGAGGAAGCCAAGTGGGTTACAACGGCCTGCCAAAACAAAGCCCCTGGAGCAGACGCGATTTCTGTTCGTCTTCTTAGGACAGCCTGGCCATCAATTGGTCACGCAGTGAGAGTACTCTTTGAGGGCTCACTGCGATTGAATCACTTTCCGAAGGCCTTCAAGCTAGCGGAAGTAATCCTTCTCCCCAAACCCGGCCGTAACCTCAGTACAGCTAAAGGATGGAGGCCTATCGCACTTCTCTCCTCCCTGGGTAAAGGTCTCGAGAGACTGATTGCAAGGCGAATGGCTTACACCGCCCTCACCTACAAGGCAGTCCCGCAGCAACTCTTTGGAGCACTCACTGGCAGGTCTGCCAACGACCTCGTCTCATGCGTCATCCACGATGTAGAACATGCAATGAAACGGCAGAAGAAAGCAGTCCTAGTCACTTTGGACGTTCAGGGTGCATTCGATGCTGTACTTCACGGACGGCTGCTGCAGAGGATGAACAAGATGGGGTGGCCTAAACCAGCTATCACCTGGATAAAGTCCTTCCTACAAGAACGATCTGCTCGCGTACGACACGAAGACGGAGTCACAGACCCGGTATTCCTAGAATGCGGGCTGCCACAAGGATCGCCTCTTTCCCCAATTCTTTTTCTGTTCTACATGGCCGAAGTCGTGGGAGGCAGTAGTTGGAGATTTGGCTATGCAGATGATGTTGCCATCCTCGGCATAGGTTCAACTCCAACTGAAGCCGCAGTAGCTGTCCAGAGAGAAGTCGATGCAGTCCTAGGGTGGGCCGCTGATAATGCCGTCTCTTTCGACCCAGATAAGGCCGAAGTAGTCTACTTCGTCGGCCCAAGATCCAGGGGACACGAACTTCCGGCTATAAGGGTAGGCACTCGCGATGTACAAGCATCCGACGACATCCGATGGCTCGGAGTACACCTTGATCGCGGTCTGACCTTCGAAAGTCACGTCGCAAAGTGGACCAGCAAAGCAATGCGGCTAGTGCAGCACTTCCGACGGCTCACACTTTGCACCCAGGGACCAAGGCCTGACTTACTAACCACAGTCATTCGCACGGTAGTTCTGCCAATCGCGATGCATGCAGCGGAGGTCTGGTGCCCGGGGCCAACCAGGGAAACTTATCGAGGTGTGACGCGTAATTCCTACAAGAGACAGAGCAAAGTCATCGACCAAACCTCTGCCTTCGGAATCCGCGTGGCTCTACCAACCTGGCGCACGATGACTGTTGCAGCACTGAGAAGAGAGACTGGTATTCCGCCAGCACAAATTCTGCTCGAGGAACGCAGGCTCAAGACTGCCGCACGAATCCGGACACTAGATGAGTACCATCCGCTTCGACTTCGGGCCACGGAAAGCACAGACAGCGCTCGTCACCGACTCGGCCTAAAGACATGCAACAAAACCAGACTTGGTTTCGACAGAGTGCATGATTCAAGGGTCCAGAGGATGTATCGACTCCTGCCAGAGGCCGAACTACCTCCAACGCTCCGACCTCCGGCCCCCCCTCAGCCAATTCCCCGCTGGACAAGCAAGAAAGAAGCAGCTAGGTTTATAAGAGAGTGGCTACCTACTCTCCCACCCGACTGTCTTTGCGTGTACAGTGATGGCTCTGGGGCGTCCACCGACAAAGTGTCATGGGCCTTTGTGACTTTTATCAGTGGCACAGGCAGGGTAATTGAGCAAAGCGGCTCAGGCAAAATAACCAATGCGGAGGTCTACGACGCGGAGGTTCATGGAGCTCTAGCTGCTCTTGAAGCAATCACTAGCAGGAAGCGAGATCGTGGTCGTAGCGCCATCTATATTCTGCTCGACAATTCTGCGGCTGTCCAGGCCTTACTAACGGGAACAACAAGCTCATCATCCTGGAGGATTCAAAGGTTCTGCAAAATGGTCGCTAGAGCAGCAGCACCTGTTAAAGTAGGATGGATTCCGGGCCACGAAGGGCTGGTAGGAAATGAAATGGCTGATGAGCTCGCTCGAAGAGAGCTTAACTCATCGGACGATACGAGGACGACACATGGGGTGATGACCCTCGCCTCTTCCGGAAGGAAAGCTCGCGAACTGGCCAGACAGATGGTTACAGACTGGTGGCATTCGAATCGCCCCAGACATTATGCAGACCTCGAACTCGAGATGCGACGCAAGAAACCGCCAGAACTAGCACTACCAAGGGCAGTCTACGCTCGCTTAATAGCCGCTCGAACCGGACATGGAGACTTCGCGGCTTATCATCGCCGCTTCAACCACACTGACGCTACACTTCACTGCGAGTGTGGGAGGGAAAAATCAATTGGTCACCTTGTCCAGTGTCGAAAAGCACTGGCAACATGGCGGCTGAAAAGCGGAAGGCGAAGGGCGCCAGCTATAGAAACAATGCTCGGATCAAGCGGGTGGCAACTGTTCAGGGACTATGTCCAGGAGAGCGGAATATACGCGGAGGCTAGCCGGGGGATGGCAGGGATACCTGTGACTCGGAGGTGATGAACGAAAGCCTAGGTGATCTGGCATGGAAGTAGGGATAGGAATCGAGGCTCGGGCGCGTGGTGGCCGAGGCGGAACGATGGAAGGGAGATTGTCAAAGTTTTTTCTTTTGTAATGCAGGACTTTGCGTGGAAGTTTTCTTTTGTTTTGTTTTCAACTCTGGGCTGCTGTACTCGTCATGCTTCAACACATAGATGCGTTTCGGCATGGTTCCGGTCATTGAGGTGGGACGAGGCACTTGTACTTTACGGTAGTTAACCTGATCCGGCCCGACCCCACTCGTGCTCAAGCTCCAGTAGGAGTGCGACGGTAGTTACTTCACCTAGCACGTTAATGAACAAACAAACAAACAAACAAACAATCTACCAGCTTACTAGCCGCCACATTAGCTTGCTAGACTTTATAGATACACATGCTATTAGAAGATTTAACTATGAAAAATTAGACACTAATTTTGGGTTTAAATTTCACAAAAGGTATGACTTTCACAGAGGTCGTTCAAGTTTCTTTTCACTCCACAGTAATTAATTTAGTTCCATGATAAAAACATAATTAAAAGAACCTACACAGCTGACAAAGTTTTTTGTTTCTTGTCTAAATGCTTCTATCCTCATTTAGTAGTAGGGGTCCCAAATAGTTCTTACATCCTTCCAAATAATGTTTCTTTTCAAACACCTAGTTCATAGAGCCTCTGATCAAAAGCGTATTCACGAATTTTGCGAATTGGAAAATTTAACAACGCAGTAACTAAATATCCCTTTGATCTACCATATCCAACCTTTGCATCACTGGTCTAAATTTTACCTTCGCAACAATAATGCAGTCGTGGAGATCAGAGTACGGATGTATTTGTGCTACCTCATACCCGGCTTCATCCAGAAGCCTAAGCCACTGTGATTGTCGTCTTTCAAAAACATTGAAACATGCAAGCATTAGGATATTCAACTCAAGTAAATTTAACATGCTTGTTGTTACTGTCAATTTCCTGCATAAATCAGTTACTATATTACAGTTTAGCTAACTTCAATGGACTGACATGTCTGGCAATACTTTATCATCGATTAATAAGAAAGATTCCTTTCCCATAGCAGGAACTTGGGCCTTTAGGATTTGGATAACAGCTTCATCAATGTTTTTGCTCAAGACTCGACGAAAATAGTATACATACGCACCTCAGACTTATTAGAAAATATGATTCAGTGTTAGGCAAGGAGATTACCTTGAATGGGCTGGTCTCTGAAAAAATTACATGGTACTTTCAAGATCCGATCAGGGACATGAGATTTGTGTAAAATTTCTGGTTTGTCTTGTAATACGACTTGTCCCCTTAACCCAGGAAATCTGTCTAGGAGAACAATACATTGGTCTCCCATACCTCCGCCCACGTCGACAAATACGAATGATCGGTCGTCTGAATCACCAGTGAATTCTTCTTGGAAGTCTACGACACTATGCCAGCTAGGCACAAGATCCCATTGATGTCGGTTGAGTTTATCTAATTCTCTTTCAAATTTGGGGTTTTTCTCAAGCCAAGAGGTCAAATCAAGGGATGTGTTGAATGCTAAGTTGTGTGCGCTTCGTCCATGTCTATCATTAACTGAAACGCCGAGGTGATTAATTATTGGGAGAAACAAGTCATTACTACAGTTTAACTAAAGTTAGCTGAAAAAAACTTATATAACGATCAAAATTGTGGGGCGATAATTTGATTATATTAATAAAAGGTTTTTAAAAGGAAAATAGCATACAAAACTGGAAGGCCATAAATTGCTATTGGCTTTAGAAGATTAAAGGTAACATTATTATCACGATATAAGAAGTCTCCCACATCATCGATCATGTGTTGAGCTGCCATATACTCCAAGAAGACCTCCAAGATACTTTGCTGCAGACCAGTCATTTCAGCTAGAGAGGCAACATCAAATGCTTCATCTTTACTTGCAACAAGCGCTTCAAAAATACCACAGTCTTGTGCGATTCTGCCAATGACTAGTGGCAAACTAGAATAAGCGATTCGATGGTAGGTCTGAATTTGATTTTCAAAAATAGTTGAAGCTCTACGAGTGAGCATTGTTATCTCTTTATCGTACCTAGAGAACTTTTGAGGCTCCTGTATGAGCTCACGTAGTTGATTGATTAGACTACTTCCATCAAGAACGGTTGAGACTTGATGAGTGAGCAGAGCGATAGCTCTGTGATGCGAAGAGAACCTGTTGGGATTTTCTAGAAGAGCCTCAAGCTGTCCTACAAGATTTATAGATTCTTGAAATTCGATACTTTCATTCATCGTATCATTATTATTTTCCAGAGGACAACTAATCTCAAATGAGCTCCTATCGCTGAGAGAGTTGTTCCGAACATGCTTCTTATTGAAGCTGAATTTTGAATACTGGCTACTATAACGCTTTCGCACTGAGTTACCTCCAGATGCACCTGGCGTATCTGACGGCGCATGCAGTTTAGACCACTTTTTTAAAGAAACACGTGAGAGCAGAGATGAACTTCGCTCCCTGTTGGTGTCTGGCTGCGTACTGAAATTGTTACCCATATTTGTTTAATAGATGAAGAAAAATTAGGGTTAACACAAGAGGGAATATAATTTTTCTTGACATGCAGTCTAACATGGATGTTTTCATGGAAGGAACTGATTAACACCACATCTTCCTTAATTACTGCTGATACTAAATTATAAGAGGGGAAGGGGCGCCCAAGTATTACTACAAGTGAAATCATCCACACGAAATGAAATAGGTGTCTGCTTAAAATATTTAACAAAACAATTTTAATGAATTGAAAGCCCATGAGACGCGATGAGTATTAGATTCATGGCCAGAAATAAAGATTGACGAATGTATTCACACGGGACCACTCTTGATGCACAATTTCAATTGTTGGACGACTTCAAGTACGCCAGACTAAAAATTCTGCGATACGATCAAAATTTCTTGTTGTTACACTGTGACTATTGACATCTGAAAGTATGTCACGCGACAGAATGCACAAATGCTACATGGCGCTAGCTAATTTTAGCTTAGTTTGGCTTGATACAATCGCGTGATAAGATCGCCAAGGCGAGACAAGGTAGATGTGAACTATATTTCGTTGCGCGACCGTGATAGTGGCATTGCAACGTACTACCAACCTTACCAATCATCTGCCATTGTCACTTTACTTGCGAAGCAATGGCAGAGATTAAAATTGATGCCAAGCTATTCCATGAGCGCCTTTCTCACTTCACCGCAGCCTGGAAGGCCGACAAACGAGCTGGCGACGCGTTGTTTAATGGTGCATCTTCGATACTTATCTTGATGGGTAGGACAGACGAAACGTTGAACTTTCAAAAACACAACGCTATTCATGTACGCAATCTAAAAAAATCACACGAAATGTCTAATTCCTAACCGCAAGAAAAGTTCTGGCTCCTAGGTTACGAGTTTCCTGCCACACTTTTCCTTTTTACGCTCGATAAGCTATGGGTGGTCACAACTGCAAAGAAAGGTTCGCCAACCGTATCACATCGACCCTTAATACTCCTGATGACAAAGACCTAATGGGATTACACAGCAAAGCATTTGGAGCCTCTGAAGGGTGGCAAGATACCCCTCCATATTCTAGTAAGAGGAAAAGACGTTGAACAAAATGAAAAGCTGTTCCTGCAAATTAATCAACATATAAAAGACGCTGGCGTAAGTTTCAAATCAATCAGAAACTGCATGTCAATAAAATCACTAAATCTATAACCAAGAATAAAGTCGGGGTTCTACCAAAAGACTCCACGTCTGGCCCTTTTATTGACGAGTGGAAAGCCTCATTTGCCAAGAATTCTAAAGAAATTGAGGAAGTAGACGTGTCGATTGCCATTTCATCTGCTGCACTAGCCGTCAAGGATGAAAACGAATTGGTCAGTCTTAACTAATTTCTATCAAGATTAATTTTGATGACACCCAGATAGCGCGCCATGCGAAATGCCTCTAAAGCATGCATTGCATTAATGAATCCTTTTTTTGTGGAAGAAATGTCAAATGTTTTGGACGAAGACAAGAAAGTCAAACATAGCGCCCTCTCACATCGGGTCGATAGTAAACTAGATGACTCTAAATTTTGGACTACTGTCGAGCTTCCTAGTCATCTAAAAATGCCCACTGATTTCGACCCAACACAACTTGATTGGACTCATGGACCGATCATCCAAAGTGGTGGAAAATTTGACTTAAGAATTTCAGCTCAAGTCGACGACGAAATACTACATGCTGGGATTATCGTCGCTTCAATGGGGCTCCGTTACAAATCATATAGCTCAATGATCGCTCGAACTTATCTAGTTGATCCAAACAAGTCACAGGAAAGCAATTATAAGTTTCTATTACAGGTTCACAACCTTATAATGAAAGAGATTCGAGATGGCACAACTGCAAGAGATATTTACAACAAAGCTATATCTCTCATACGTTCGAAGAAACCTGATCTAGAGAGACATTTCCTCAAAAGTGCAGGTGCTGGTATCGGTATTGAAACAAGAGATTCGACCCTTGTATTAAATGGAAAAAGCTCCAGAATACTTAAGGACGGTATGACGCTTTGCATAACCACCGGCTTTAACGACATCGAAAATCCAAATGCACAACATAAAAAAGACAAAATATACTCACTTGTTCTATCGGATACCGTTCGGGTCACATCATCCGAACCAGTCATTTTTACTGGGGATGCTCCATCAGAAATAGATGCTACCTCATTCTTCTTCAAAGATGATGAAGAACCTGAGCCAACCCCCAAGAAAACTAAAAGAGACTCTACTGTCGGTGCAGTAGCCGCAAAGAATATTACCAAGACAAAACTTAGAGCTGAGCGTAGTACGAATGCGAATGATGGAGCCGAAGCGAAGCGGCGCGAACATCAACGAGAGCTTGCAAGAAAGAAACAAGAAGAAGGCCTTGCACGGTTCGCTGAGGCAACTGGTGACTCCAACGGTCATGTTGTGAAGAAGTTTAAGAGGTTCACATCATACAAGACTGATAACCAAATTCCGTCTAAAGTCCGGGATCTTGCCATCGTTGTTGATACGAAGAATTCAACAATAGTCCTTCCAATAATGGGGCGTCCAGTTCCTTTCCATATTCAAACCATAAAAAATGCGAGTAAAAGTGATGAAGGCGACTTCTCGTACTTAAGAATAAACTTTCTCTCACCTGGACAAGGTGTCGGAAGAAAAGACGACCAACCATTTGAAGATGCGTCTGCTCATTTTGTTCGGAGTCTGACCTTCAGGTCAACTGACGGTAATCGTCTTCAAGACATTGCAAATCAGATTGGTAATATGAAAAAGGATGCTGTCAAACGTGAGCAAGAAAAAAAGGAAATGGAGGACGTAGTCGAGCAGGATAAACTGGTTGAAATACGAAGTAAGTTTCTTACAAAGTTTTTGAAGTAATCTAAGATTCTGTAGATCGTCGCCCTGCAGTCATCGATAATGTTTTTATCCGCCCGGCAATGGACGGTAAACGGGTTCCGGGAAAAGTTGAAATACATCAGAATGGTCTCCGATACCAATCACCTTTAAATCTTAACCACCGCGTAGATATCCTTTTTAGTAACGTTAAACATCTTTTTTTTCAGCCGTGTCAGCATGAGCTCATTGTTATCATTCACGTTCATCTTAAAGACCCAATCCTTATAGGTAAGAAAAAAACCAAGGATGTTCAATTCTATCGAGAAGCAACCGACATCCAATTTGATGAGACTGGAAATAGAAAGCGCAAATATAGATATGGTGATGAGGAAGAGTTTGAAGCTGAACAAGAAGAACGAAGACGACGAGCCGAACTTGATAGACAGTTCAAAGCCTTCGCAGAAAAAATTGCAGATGCCGGCAAGAATGAAAATGTTGATGTTGACGTTCCCTTTCGCGAACTGGGCTTCAACGGCGTCCCATTTCGCTCTAGTGTATTTTGTCAGCCTTCAACTGAATGTCTTGTACAACTCACCGAGCCTCCATTTATGGTCGTCACGCTTGAGGACATTGAAATCGCTCATTTGGAACGCGTACAATTTGGGCTCAAAAACTTTGACATGGTTTTCGTTTTCAAAGATTTTCATCGTCCACCCTACCATATCAATACTATTCCTGTGGAGTCCCTAGAAAATGTCAAAGAATGGCTAGATTCAGTAAACATTCCATTTTCGGAAGGACCGCTGAACTTGAATTGGCCAACCATAATGAAAACTGTAACAGCAGATACACATCAATTTTTTGCAGACGGTGGTTGGTCGTTCCTCCAAACAGAGACTGATGAAGAGGACGCAGAGGACGAAAGTGAGGAGAGCGCTTTTGAGATGAGTGACGATGAACTCATGGCATCCGATGAAAGTAGCGACGAAGAGTCAGATTTTGACAGCAACGCGAGCGCAGATGCTAGCGGTGATGGCAGTGACGATGGAAGCGATGGAGAAGATTGGGATGAGTTGGAAAAAAAGGCTAAACGAAAGGATAGAGAAAGTGGCCTGACCGATGAGGACGAAAAGCCGAAGAAAAAGCGAAAACATTAGTATAAATCTGCACTTTTCATCTCTGAACCAGCCAAAATTTTTCTCTGGCTGGGAAAACATTAGTCAAGAAGGTAGGTCGATATAACTGTAGATCTGATGACCCATCTCTTGATCCAGATGTATTTTATGCTGTATAATTTCCGGATAGAAAATAGATTCAACCAATACAAGAATTAGAGGATGAGAACTCCTCCATACACTTTAGATAATTACCCTTTAAACAGCCCGAAAGCATAATTAATACAAACTCAGTTCAAAGCAAAGACGTGAAAGTAAAGACAAGCTAATTGATCCCCCGTGTTATAAATCTTCTCCTTACGATCGTGCGCGGACATCCTTAAGCTAGACTGCGATAGTTGAGTTTTGGGATGCGCTCATTCGGATATTTTTTATATTTCTTTGTATCTGTTGTCGTATTGGTCGGTAGTGACAAATTCTTCACCTTCTAGTGGTGCCGGTGTAATCGTTCAGTATGATCTACATATCTGGGATAGCCGAGAAGAATTGCAACTGAATCGAAGTTGAAAGCAAGCTCAAGCGTATTTCCATTTGATGACTTCTCGATAATGCCGCTCTTACAATTCTCATCTATGTCCTCAACCTCTTTCTAACCACATATCATCTCGCCTCAATGACTGATTAAGGCATTACTCCAATTTCAAACGGCAGCTTATCCCATCAATTACTAACTATCTCCCACTAAAAATTTACGACGGTATTTAAACCCGCAAGGAGGAAATTTAGTTCAAATATGCAAAGCCTGGGTCTTGGCTTATGGGGGACTGTTGCTCTAATGAGACAACCAGCCCGAGGGAGGACAGGCGGCTGAGATTCTGAGCGAGAGGGGGAAGAGGTCTATGAAGACAATGCTTGGACTGACATTTTCAAGGAGTTTTCTGTTATAAAAATCTGGGTCTATGATTGCATACACCATCAGGGGATAACCGTGCAACAACTTATTTTTTTTAAACCATTGAATATGTATGCAGCTATATAAATATGAAACGTGACCGGCGCAATGTATACATGTTGGATGACTCTTATGACGTTAGAGACCAGGAGGCCGCCATCCGCTTTCTCTCTGATGTTCCCACGGCTTCTAGCTCAGCGAAAATCATTCTCTCTCGCAAGCTTGCAGCAAACTGGAAAAGAAGGTCACGCGGCCAAAACACAACGCCTGGGGAGAGGGACTATTCTCAACACCTGTCAGTGGTGTCCCCTACGAACCTCCAGCTCTCACTGTAGAGTCTGCAGAGCCGAGATTGAGTAACAAAGTCCTCACTTCGACGAGGATTCCCAATCGCTTTCGCGGTCTGTATCGTCTTCATCTCTCAACACATCCCCCTATCACCACTATCACGAAGCTAACCACGATCAGATCAGATGGTAGGGTCGGAGTCCTTCTCATCGCTAACCCTTGGTCATGGAGAAAAAGCCATCCGATGGGTTTCCAGAGCTTACCAAGCACCCGATACGGAGATGGAGAATTGGATTAAGTCGGCCTCGACTGTTACAAAGAAGGGAGATATAGATGAATATGCGCACCTCATGTGGTCCTGGTGTCTAGGCCCCGCCTGGCTGGGGCTGCAGGTTTTTTTGAGACTTTTTCCCGCGCACGCAGTTTCCATTGCTACCATTTTTAATTTTTTTGGGTAGAAGGTTCCGTGGAAAAGGTGGCCGAATTCCACGGGTAAACACTGAGCTGAATAGTTATTCATCAAGGGGAATACATCAATGATCTTTCAAGTAACAAAAGAGGATAGGAGCACTGTACAAGGTGTGGCCTGGGTCAGAGAGGAGCCCAGTGTGCTAGATAGTCATAGACTCAAGTAGCACAATAAACATACACAACGCCTGGGGAAGTGGCCATCCGATGGTGCCCGGGCCACGCAGGAATCCGGGGAAAAGTAGCAGCCGACGCGCTTGCCAAAGCCGCTTGTGCGGCTCTAGCTCTACACTCGGTATTCTCTATTGCGAGGGCAAAAAGGGAAGTCAAAGCCCAATACGAGGCTTCTGTTGAAATTTACTGGGCAGAAAATTCTCCATCTAGATATAAGGAATTAGGAATTGGTCCTAATACTAAGATTACTGCCGAGCTCGCCTGTCTAGGGCGACGCACCCTAGGATATCTACTAGCTGCACGGTCTGGACATGGCGATTTCGCAGACTACCGCCGACGGTTTCAGCACGAAAACGCCATTCTAACCTGCTCATGCTGAGGATCCAAGATTGACAGACCTCTAGATTAGTACGAGGCTCTCATAAATTGTAAGGCTTGTGTAATGTTGTTCACGTTGGAGTCCGGGCGCAAGATAAGGAATACTGTACTTATATAGACGATACCTTGTATTGATAGAAAAGCAAGTTACATCCAGTCTTAAGCTCTACTATACATATTGGTAGTTTGGAGCCACGAGACACCCATAACCTACGCCATCATAAAGCTAAGCTTATCTCACTTTGCACACATACTGATCCATCAGGAACCTCAATGCGGAGAAGAAAAGTCCCCCAACCACTTTTTCTATTACCACCTCGGGCAGTACCAGGCAGAGCTCTACAGGGCCCAGATCTTCAATCCGACTATATCTTGGGCTCTCGCTTCCGCGGAGGGAGTTCACGCATTTAATAGCTGGGTGCGTGTCACATATTTCTTTGGAAAAGCATAACATGTCTGACCGAAAGGGAATCATGTGATTCAACTAAGTTCCCCCATCCATATTTTTTATTTAATCTATTCTTTATTCAATACTATCTGAAAGCATGAAAGTTGAAGGGAGACCAGTAACCATGTATAATTTAATCTTCAAGCGCAGGATGATAAGATCCTGGCTTTCATTTGCTTTGTTGCGTTTGTTCAGGCGCCAACACGTCGGGTAGTTTTATTTAGACTGAGCTAATCGGCACGTGAGGAGCTCACGTGCTGTGCGTGGGCACGACTTTAAATATTATAAATTGTTGGAAGGTCTTACAATGTGATATCACCTGACAGAATGCGCTATACACATATACATTACACACACCTGCATTCACATATCCACTTACTCATATATTATCTTTCTCCATTTATTACATCTCATAGAAACAAAATCCCACTCTCCTGTAATTCACACTGGCTCCCATAAGAACGACCGACACTCGGGAGAAACCTACTTTAACCCAGGCACTCCACAAAACTCAACTCAAAACAGCATCAAAACCGAAAATTACGAACCCGAATTCCCGCCCTTCAGCACGTGCTCAGTCCGCAACGGGCGATGAGACCGCCCAAACCTAGATTAGAATGATGGATCCGGACGATCCCGAAAATAACATTGAGATGTGTAGCCCAGTCGCTACTCTCGACTACGACGACCCTCTCGAGAGCAGCTCCCTCGCAAGCGCACTTGCTAAAAGCGTCCAGACCGCAACCCCCCGCGTCAAAGAGGCAGAGAACCTGTTCGGCAACATAGTCCATACTATTGATCAGCAGTGCAATGATCTTACACAGAGTAGCCTACCAGAGAACCAACGAAAGGCCCTGCTTTTATTCCTCACAGATCTCTTTAATGTTGCTGAAAGCCACTTTTCGGCCTACATCAGCGGGATAATATTGGAGCCCACAGTAACAGCCCCAGGCGAGAACGAAAGAAGACTATCCTCTCAGCTCGCTACCACAACTCACACCTACGCTGGAGCAGCACACTGCGCAGCGCAAGCGCCCCCGCCACAAACCAAATCGGTTAGAGATAGCTAAACCTTGCAGAAAAACTCTACACATCCAAGCGCAACCAAGAAACAACACCAACGCCCAGACGATAGGTTGTTCGTCTGCATACCAGAGGGAGACAAACGTAGGAATCTTTCTGCGTACGCAATCCAGACACATCTGAAATCAAAGCTGGGACCTAGCGGCCCGCTCTTGACAAACGTCCAAGCAACTAAGACGGGATTCGCTCTGTGCCCGAAAACCGGCGAATCCACTGCTCTGAAGGAAAAAATTGCTTCAGTGGACCTCATAGGCGATGCAATCATAGTGAGCGCAACCCCACGTGTGTCCTTCTGTATTGAAAATGTTCCATGTACCTTTGGGACAATTAACGACAACTTGGAGTACTGCTTAAGGCTAGTAACCTGTGGAAACTCGAGGGACAAAAGACGATTGGCGAGTGGTCAAAAGCTGGCGTGGACTCAAATCATAAGATTCTAAACTAAAGAGAAAAGTATCTAGGAGGATATGAATCTGTATATATTTACATAAGAGTTCAACTGTTGAAATAGAGTTGCCAACACGAAACCTCCTGTCCCTCATTGCCTACAACCCAAGGGTTTCGCTTGAAAACCAATATCCATGACAGACCTTTCGTATTGTGATTTGTCACACACAAGACTCGTGTGTGTGAAACTAGTCGTTGGAATTCCTGGATTGACCCTGTGTCGGCTTACCAACTATTGAACCGACGACCACGTGGCCACTAAAATGTCGGGGCGTCACATAACCCCAGAAGATATCCACGAAGCCCTCTCCACTGCCTCAGGTGTATCCCCAGTCGCCGTCTTACCTTCACAAAATAAAGATGCACACCCAAGCTCGTCAGCCACGTCATGGATCGTCCGATTCTCAGGGAGTCAACAACGTCTACCCCGCGTCCTTTACCTATTTGGATGCCGAACAGTAACAAAGCTTCTTCCGAGACAACAGTCAGTAATACAATGCACCCGTTGCTGGTTGTGGCATAACAGTCGCTCATGCGCATCTCCTATTAGATGCCGTCTCTGTGGCTCGTCACAATACACCGAAAGGGAACACAACAACCACTGCGCTGCCTCCGCGGGCCACATATGCCCCCCTCGATGTATTCATTGCCATGGTCCTCACCCAGCTAATGATGCCACCTGTGAACTGTTGAAATTGGTGCTACTTGGCAATGAAGAGGCGCATTAATACGGAACGTAATAAGGTTCTATTATTACTAACCACATTCATGACGACTCATACATTGACCAGCCTCCCAATTATT